TCTGTATCACTGTATGGGCTTTATTTTACCTGGTTTTGGGCAAGATCTTCATTCAACCTCCTCCTGATATTATCTTGAACTCCACTTTTAAGACTTGCCTTCAACATATCAGGGGAGATTTCAAAACTGCTCTGTGTATCACGAGACAGTTCAGACGCAGCTGTAGAAAATGTAAGTAGGTATGGGTTATTGTGTAATAAATGTTTCTCAAACTCATTACATATATATTCATGAGCACAAACACAATGGTTCCCAGAAAATATTTGTGATCTACATTTTTGCAGAAATTTTCACAGACAATTTTTAAATTTGTTAGCTATATAATTGTGAAAATTACTCTGATTGAATATCTAAATTACTAAATGCCTGATCACTGAAATGATTGAATACCCACTTCGTCTACTAACTCAATACCTAAAATACAGTGGAACAGTTTTTTCAAAAATTCCAATTTTTGTGTTCAATTTTTCTTTAAACACTGGTTCGTTTTCATATCATGCACTCGAAGTTGGCAGTTATAGTGATTTTAAAACACATCAAAGTATATTAAAAATGCTTGATCATTTGCTAATTTTTCAACACACTTTTTAATATTGGAATTCACTTTAATAAGCTAGGATTTACATTTTCTCGCACGGGCAACGCGTCGGGTCAAATTTAATCGCCGACGCAACTCACGCAAGAGAACAGAAGTCGCAACACGTGCAATGATTTTCTAGTCTGGTAAGAGAAATGCAAAGCCAGAGTTTTACAAATCGAGGCTAAATTCATGATTTCTTGACAAAATTTAGCGCTAGTAATTTTAGACACAAGTTTAAAAGTTTGATTACTGTGAAGTGTGGTGTTATCAATAGAAACCAAAATATTATGTTGTCAATAGACTGCCTAAATTAAAGGCACAGTTCAGCCTTTTGAACGATGGTTTTTAAGGCGCATTTCAGCCCTTTTAATTGAAAAAACTAACTAGGAAAATCAATTAAGTATAATTCAAAATCAGTAAACTCGATGTTTTTAACAATAAAAATGTTTTAAAATGTTAAAAACATTGAGTTTGGTGATCTTGAATTATGCTTAATTGATTTTCCTAGTTAGTTTTTTCAATTAAGAGCTGAAATGCGCCTTAAAAACCATCGTTCAAAAGGCTGAACTGTGCCTTTGAGATCCTAATATGTTTAAAGATGTTAGAGGCGAAACCACGATTATTGATAATAGTGTTCAAACGCTCTCTGGCTTGAAATATTTATTTATTTTACGACCTTAATTTCGATTGCCACTCTGCAGTCTTCAACGGGTAGTTTACACACTATTGATCGTTTGCAATCGACGCCATCTTGGTTGATTTTCGTGCAACTAAAAATCTATATTCTTCATTCTTTGTCGCATTGTGAAAGAAATCGTAAACTATCCACACTACAGTAACATGTTTTCAAAACAAATCGAAAATATTAAAGTAACTCAACTATTTCGATGTAAACGGCTGGACAAAACTTTAAAATCAACCAAGATGGCACGTAGTTACGTCATATGCAAGCAAAGAATTGTCCTAATATGTGTTTAAAGTTTGTTCGTTCACTGCAACCAGGTATATCAATCATGTTTCGCTCGCTACTCTGGTTTAAATAATGATTACAAAGCTCAGTCGAATTGTAATCAAGACCCAACGTTTCGACACTCCAGTCTAGTGTCTTCATCAGGGGTGATCTAAAATTGCAATCGTGGCTTCTTAAATACCCACGGGATGACATCACCTGCCAATGAGATGCATATATTCCTCTGGCAAATAGGCACCGTCATCCCTATTCAAAGCATGATTACTCATATTTATATGCCACGCTTCTAGGAAAAGTCTTTGACCATAGCGATTGTTTGTGGCAATTACTTTAGAGTTTTCCCACGCAATCTCGTGTTTGGTGTAACATACATGTTCGGCTAAAGCTGATTTTCCCTTGTCTAAAGTTGAGACAGCCTTTTGACGTTCTTTTAGCCGTGTACCAAACTGGCGTTTAGACAGACCCAAATACTCTTTCTCGCAGTCACCGCATGGTATAGAATTTACAGCATGAGTTTTCTGATTTGTTTTAACAGTATCTTTTGGCTTTGCGAAAATATGACCTAAAGTCAAATAGGGTTTTAAGGCAACCTTAATATTACAATTACTTAAGATTCTCTTGATGGTTCTGTGACACCTTGAATGTATGGAACTATTGCATAACCCTTAACAGAGGTATCACCCTCGGAGTTATTTTGGTTCCTACAAACAGGTGATCTCAGGCAATCATTAAGAAAACGTTTTGGGTAATCGCTTACCCCTAAAATATTTAGAACATATTCACGTTCATTAGCTTGAGAATCACTGTTTGACGGCAAGGATTCAACTCTTTGAAGCAAAGTTCTTGAGATAAATGGACATTTAGCTTTTTTAGATTTGAATGTGCACTGAACTGTGGAAGGGAAGTTAGAGACTGATGTTTATCACAATTAAACCCCCACACACAGACAAATACTTGTCATACGACTCTCATCACCAAGTAAGCCATAAAAGATCCGTAGCAAGAACTTTGCTTCAAAGAGCTGAATCCTTGCCGTCAAACAGTGAGTCTCAAGCTAATGAACGTGAATATGTTCTAAATGTTTTAGGGGAAAACGATTACCCCCAAAATTGCCTGAGATCACCTATTTGTAGGAACCAAAATAACTCCGAGGATGATACCTATGTTAAGGGTTATGCAATAGTTCCATACATTCAAGGTGTCACAGAACCAATCAAGAGAATCTTAAGTTATTGTAATATTAAGGTTGCCTTAAAACCCTATTTGACTTTAGGCCATATTTTCGCAAAGCCAAAAGATCCTGTTAAAACAAATCAGAAAACTCATGCTGTATATTCTATACCATGCGGTACGTGACTGCGAGGAAGAGTATTTGGGTCAGTCTAAACGCCAGTTTGGTACACGGCTAAAAGGACATCAAAAGGCTGTTTCAACTTTAGACAAGGGAAATTCAGCTTCAGCCGAACATGTATGTTACACCAAACACGAGATTGCATGGGAAAACTCTAAAGTAATTACCACAAACAATCGCTATGGTCAAAGACTTTTCCTAGAAGCGTGGCATATAAATATGAGTAATCATGCTTTGAATAGGGATGACGGTGCCTATTTGCCAGAGGAATATATGCATCTCATTGGCAGGTGACATCATCCCTTGGGTATTTAAGAAGCCACGTTTGCAATTTTAGATCACCCCTGATGAAGACACTAGACTGGAGTGTCGAAACGTTGGGTCTTGATTACAATTCGACTGCATGGGCTTTGTAATCATTTATTTAACCCAGAGTAGCGAGCGAAACATGAAAAACTAGAAAATATCAAAATATTAACGGTTCAAGAAATTTGTGAACGCGATTGATCACACTCTGCCACTGGGTAATATCTTCATCAATTAAACTTTCCTGAATTCAATAGAGATTTTTAGCATAAGCACACTATTCTACATATGATAATGAGAAAGGAGATTACATATGATAATCAGAAAGAGTACAAGTAAAAATACCTAAGAGACGTACAGCAGAAGAAAAAAAAAGCCAGAAATAGTGGAGGACAAACATTTAATATATATTCGCTTTTCAACTAACAGAATCCATAAAACTCAACATTTTAAATGTTCGTTTAAATTACTTTCTAGTTCAAGTTGATTAATGTCATTCAGCGTCTCAAAATCATCTACAATTACCTATAGTGCATTCTTTCATGCCTCACGCATGTGCCTTGCTTTTGTGCAAAGCCAAATTTATAGTTTTTCAACAGGCGTACTTGTCATGAAAACATAGCCAAAGAAAATAGCTATATGCATGCCAATTTGGGACATGAATGCATTTAAAATACAATTATTCTAGGCTTCTACTAGCAATGCGCTTCGCATTGGGAACTGCATTGACCTTGCAAGCATGTTGTTATAATTATCATATCACATACTGTATGTAGTTGCAGACTTTAGTTTAAGATTCGCCGTTAACTTTGCTTAATGCGATAACACCATTATTTAATTTATTTTCTTTGCTTCTTGTAATCATTCCGTATTGAAATTCGCAATGGCAACCATTTGATGGTGACACAGAAGAGGAATCATCGGATGATTTATATGTATTTTCACAAGGTAGTTGTGATAAGTCTGCAATTATGTATTAGTAGTATTGGTAAAACCCGTTTTGCATGCATATAATGCTTTGCAAACCCAAGGCAAGGAGTAAAAATTCAAGAGTACTACCAGACTACTCCGAGACAAACCATCATCAACCGCATGTAGCGGATCCTTAATAAGATTATCCAAAATTAAAGGAAGCACGTGTCGGTGAAGCAGTACCGACGTCCATGTCTGCTGCAATACTGCAGTCTAAGATGAGATACGCTATAACGCAACCCGGAGGACCGTTATCACAACAAGATTAGCCAAGCCGATCTTGAGACAAGCCCAGAGCTGAAATGACGACAATGAACCTGTTGCTGCCCAGAGCAGGGAAATAGAACCGACGACAAAGAACCAAACAACGCAAGCTCGTGCGAGAGCATAGAAGCGGACAAGGCGCACACTAAAATGTGTAACAAGCCAATGAAAATGATGGTTAAACTTCATACCAATTTAAACGAATATAACACGAGTGACACTGATAAACTTTTGAGCAATTATAACAGTTTCGCTATTTAATTTTAGTATAGAGGATATTAACAAAATTGATGTGTTTTTACGAAAAGTAATTTAAACGAACATCTAAAATGTTGAGTTTTATGGATTTTGTTATATATTATTTGCACTATTTCTGGCCTTTGTTTTCTTCTGCTGCACGTCTCTTGGGTATTTTTACTTATACTCTTTCTGATTATCATATGTTATCTCCTTTCTCACTATCATATGTAGAATAGTGTGTTTATGTTGCTGAAAAATCTCTAATAGGTTATTAACATCGTCAACAATAGGTTAACAATAGGATTATATATAAACATGTTCTACTGTATTGTGTCAACGTGTCCGAAAGAAGTTTTACTACTTTAAATAGTACTTCGTACAGCTATTGAATTGGAAAGGCGATGAAAATTTAATTATAAACATAAAAAGTCTAAGTAAATACCCCCATCTGCTTTCATATCACAATATACTTTTAGTGGTGTACTGTCCAAGGCAATCCAATATTCCCCATTTGATAAGGATGTCCCTTTTGTTCGTTGAAGAATGTCTAAGCATGATTTTCCAGGATAGCTGTAGTCACCAACCTTTGACTGAATGCAACACTAAAACAAATATTCCTGATTAGTATAAATTGTGCATTGAAAATGAGCTTTCGCGCGTTCTGATTGGCTATAGTTAACTAGTAAACCTGAGGCATTATTTACAACCTGGGTAGTAAATAATGCTTTTCAAAAAGAATGATTTTCGGCAAATGTGGTTTCAAAATCGTCCCCAGAAAACGAAAGAAGCACTAAATATTGTATTTAACTTGAAAGGTAGGATTCCATTACTATTTTACTGTGTCAAACATATTCACGGACAATTAAAAACTTAGTTAAAACTCCGAAACATTCACTTCAAACAACTAGCAAAAACCGGAATGACTTTTGGGAAAAACCTTGCCGTGACATTCTTTAAAATCCATTTTATTTTGTATGCTATAGATTTCCCAATTTGTACGATACTACTTCTTTTGATATGTCATGTTTTCATTGTGCTGTATGGTGTTCTGACCGCTGTATTGTGTTTTCGAAACTTGTAAAGTAAAAAGTGTTATTAAAACTTTTATATTTCGAACAATATAGTTTTATATTCCATTTTACCAAATTCCTCAGCCATTTCCTGAAGAAATTAATGCTAACAGAAACTATTTTTAATTCTACGTCTGGTAAAATAAGTCATTCCGTTATTGTGTTTTTATTCCAAGCAGAATTTGAGAAAAACATCCAACTTTGTAATGAGCAATAATTTCACACAAGAAGCCATTTTGAAAGCGTGTGCGTACAAGAAACACTGCATGCAACACTATTAGTGAACAGGCCGAAAACAGTTTTATTTCTGAAATTTAATTGAACTGATATTCGGATATTTTGTTTTATTCATTAAAAATTTATACTAAAACAATTATTCGCCTCAGGCTCAGTGATTACGGTGAATATTCACCGGTAATCACTGAGCCTGAGGCGAATAATTGTTAATTATTAAACTACGCTATACTTCAAACCAATCATGGTTGATTTTATCATCACATTGTTTTTCCACCAATCAGGTCAGTTTGTTACAGATTTTTGCACTGTGATTACAGAAAATTGCACTGTGATTACAGAAAATTGCACTTTGATTACAGACAATTGCACTGTGATTACAGGAAATTGCACTGTTGTTTGGGATTTAATAATATACATAAAGATATTACTCGACTGTGATTGGTTGATTTCAGTGCAGTTAATCCCAAACAGCAGTGCAATTTTCTGTAATCATGCACAGTGCAATTTTTTGTAATGACAGTGCCATTTTCTGTAATCACAGTGCAAAAATCTGTAACAAACTGATCTGATTGGTGGAAAAACATTGTGATGATTAAATCAACCAATCAGTTTAAAGCAATTTAGTTTAAAGAAGTAACGGTCACAGATTGCTTCAAAACAAAACAAACATGGCGCCGCGCTACACAAAGTAAAAGTTGCCTTCGCGTGCAAAATATGGCTTTTATCTTTATTTTTAAATGGAAAAGTATTTACCTTAAACAAGACAAACAAAAATTACATAGTTGAGTGGAATTTTCAAGCCGCTAGCGTTGTATAATGTGATAACAAAGCCAGGAAAACTTTGCCAGTGGAATGTTCGCTATAATTATATAAACGCGTAAGTTAAAACTCACAACCCGTGAGTTTTTCAACCAAACATGTACACAGTCGAGTAATATTTTAATGTATATCATTATATATAACAAACAGTGTAATTATATTTCCTTAACATTCTGCTTAAAAACTAATAAAAAGGTCAAAATTTCCTCAGTTTAAGGCAATTTCCTTAAAAATGAGAGCCCTAGTTAAAATAAAATTTCCAACTGACGACGCGCTCGAAATGTGCTCGCTAAGCCTTCTGGGAGCCAATATTTAGCACCGCGATTGACTGAAAGCACTGACAATCTCAATCATGTGCAACCTAGCTCGCAACTGAGTCAGGAGGTTGAAACATGTGAACAACCCAGTGCAAATAAACATGTATTTCTGTTTTTATTCCATCTTTAAAATTCTGGCTGTCTTGTTATATATATATATATATATATATATATATATATATATATATATATATATATATATATATATATATATATATATATATATATATATATATATATTAAAGCATATACGACGCGATATAAGGTACATACATATTTTATGAATTTTAGTTCTGGAGACTAGACCTCCCAGCACACTCTCCCCAGGACATTCTGCTGAAAATAAATGACTATAAACTCAGTTTCAGGTCAATTAAATTTTGATAAAATGATTAATTAAATATAATTAAAATTAATTTTGAAAGTTTGAGTGGGTTCTGTTATCACCACACAAATTTGTTTCACTGCATATCTTTACTGTTTATCACTGCACACTTTCCTTTCATCACTTACACCAAAATGGCAGATTGCATTTATTTTTCGCACATGTTGGGGGGGGGAGAGGGTTGAGGACATATTTTACCAGCTAAATTTACCAGGAATTCAGTTAATATACCCCCTTCCCTGCAAAATGGCTTTAATCGCAGACCATCCCCTGGATTTTGGTATCTGATCACCCCTCCCCCCTGGATTTTCCATGGCCTTTTTTACACCCATCACCTGGATTTTTCATTGTCCTTAACCCCCTCCCTCTGTGCAATATAAATGCAATCTGCAAATCAGGTATGAATAAGTGTTATGACTTATGAGATAGTTTCCACTTTACACCAGATAGGTGTATTTTAACATGATCTTAAATTTGAAGCTTATAAACCACAAAAAGAGAGTATCATATTATGGAACAAAGTCAATTCAAACAATACTTGCCTTCACATGCACTACCCCAGCGGGCAAAATTACGTTTATCCAACGTTGAATCAACGTTGGAAATGACCAGACGTTGGATAGACGTTGAAAAAGGGTTGACTATGCAAATTGGATCGACGTTACTGTTTCGACGTTGAAACAACTTTGAAATTAGGTTGCCAATTTCGTCAACCATAATTCAACGTTGAATCAACGTTGAAAGAACGTTGAGATTGGTTCACAAATCGACTTCGTACATTTAACCATGAATGAACGTTGATTCAACGTGGCTGCTGTTGAACCAATGTTTGTAAAACAACGTCAGAGCAACGTAGACATTAGGTTGTCGACGTCGCAACCTTTTTTCTACCAAATTTAAACGTTGAAACAACGTCGTGTGCCCGGTGGGACGTTTATGATGAGTAGCTGATGGATCTACATAGCTCCTAGCTGCAATATTCTTAAATGTTAGTAATGTGGATATTCACTCAGCGTATGCAACGACCTATGCATATGGAGCAGACACCTCAATGTCTCTGATGCTAGAAACTCAAATTATTAACCTCCTGTAAATCCTTTATTAATTTCCTCTGGAGCTTTATTAGGTAATAATATTAGTATTTTTTAGGTAACTATATTCATGCCAATTGTTAAAACCCTACCTCTTTTCACTGTTCATTTCCATAAATATCCAGCCTACCAGCCCCAGCCCACCTAAACTTGGAGATTAATATGTGATTTATGGTGCTTCCTGAATGAATATATGCTCTACGTAGAAATTATGGCTGTGATATACAATTCAATGTTGAGATCTGTGCAGTGCAATTGTTACATATTTACAGGTAAACTACGTGAAGCGTTCCTCTTTTGTGTTCCTAACTCATTTGGAATTTTCTAAATTAGATTTGCAAATTTGAAAAACTCTTCACAAATCCCTTGAGGGCATTTGCAATTTTCCTGTCGGCCGTTGCAATATTCCAACGCAAAGAAAGTTCCTTTCAAATTTTCCTAACTTCCTTTTTAATTTCCTAACTTTCTGTTCTGTTCTGTTCTGTTCTGTTCTGTTCTGTTCTGTTCTGTTCTGTTCTGTTCTGTTCTGTTCTGTTCTGTTCTGTTCTGTTCTGTTCTGTTCTGTTCTGTTCTGTTCTGTTCTGTTCTGTTCTGTTCTGTTCTGTTCTGTTCTGTTCTGTTCTGTTCTGGTCTGCTCTGTTCTGTTCTGGTCTGCTCTGTTCTGTTCTGCTCTGTTCTGCTCTGCTCTGCTCTGCTCTGCTCTGTTCTGAGCGTTCTGATTGGTGAATTATTTTTGTTAGCCAATTGCAACGCACAGAACGGAAAGTTAGGAACGTCTAACAGGAACTGAGGAAAATTTATTTTGCTTTTGAACAATGCAAATTCCCTCAAGGGGTTTGCAAGGGAGTTTTTCAAATTTGCTAAGGTAATGACGAAAATTGCAATCAACGTA